GGGGGGGGGGGGGGGGGGGCAAAGGTCCCCTTTGGGGGGACCTTTAAAATTGCGGCCAGCTGCTTGTACGATCCCTGGATACGAAATTAACTTGCGACAGTGCAACCTCGTATCAGGGCTTCTGAAAATACTTTTTAAAAGTGTTTTAAATTGTTAGTAATGATGCAAACTAGTACTCAAGTGATTTAATCAACAGTTTCAATGATATTTTATTAAATATTACAAAATAAATAACTGACGTAAACTGACACTGATCGAGTATGGGTCTCCAGTGCCTCCAGTGATCATAGACATAGGCAAAACTAAGAAGGGTCTAAGAAGTCGACCTCCTGTAAGGTTCCTATTCTGTTGGATAGGTCAGTCACAGAGTAAATACCATATAGAGTCACTTCTTATTGATTTTTTCCATAACAAGTGCCCTAAAGAGAGGCTGTCACCCCCTTGAAAGCATATTGAAGTTTAATGTTCCAGGGGGGGGGGGGTGAATGCCTCTCTTTAGAGTATTTGCTAAGAACATGGCCGCCAGATAAGATAGGTAGTTTTTACCATTTTTCACTGCTACTCCAGAGCGCTATGCCCATTCCTAACCTGCGAACGGGCATGCTCTGCTGTGTTTGTGATCAACGCTTGAGATGCGTCAGATCCCCCACCAGCAAATTCTTAATTGCCCTATCGATTTTCTGAAGTCTTTCATTTTGGATTTGTGTTATTAATTCGATTAGGGTTAGGGTTACAGTTAGAGTTAGAGTTGAGGTTAGGGGTTAAAGTTGTGTTTGGGTTAGTTAATACCACTGAGCTATACTATATTACATAGCCAAATAGAGGTGTGCACAGTGCATTGGATCGAATTGGACGTTTTATATAATCCGACAAATTATTTATTATTTAACCAAATAATAAATATTATATATTAATTCATTTTATTTCGAATATTGAAGTCCGATCCGACTACGAAACAACTTTATCAATCCAATCCGAAATGAATATTTTTGTTCCGAAATCCGAACGAATCGGATTGGATTTGCCAGCTATTTAACTGTATTTAACACCTCTTCCATCTTCCGAAAATGACGTCAGGTCAGTTTGCTGGATGGAAAATAGTGCTGACCGACCGACATGAAACAGATTTGCAGCAAAGGTACTAGCCTGTGAGGAATTAATCACTTTCTAATTTTTACGATGTCAAATGTACATGTTTACCATTCGGAAAAGCCTTTGGATCGTGGTCTGGAGGAAGAAACGGCGTATGAATCTGAAAAAGTCTTTGAGAATTGCGTGAAAGACGGGAAAAGGAGGGAAGAGGATGATGCCAAAATAGCTTCAAATCTTGTCAGGAAATGGCTGCTGGAACACAGTTATCTGATACCGGGAGAGGTGAGGATAGTTTCTGGAGTTGAGGCCGCTGGGCTAGGAAAGGAAAAATCAGAACAGTCTTATTGGAATGCTTATTTTACTGATGAAAATTTTAAGTATACTGAAGCCTTCTGGGAAAATGAATATCGTAAACAACCAGTTTCAACGATCATTCCTGACGATCCATTTCATCGCTTCGTATTGCATTTCTTACGTGGTTGGAGACAAAAACTCCACGCATACATAGTGGATGAAGAAATACCCATAGCGGAAAGAGCAGCTGTTTTGAAAAAACAAGTGCAAAATTTTGCTTTCTTCTCAAGAAAGAAACCTTTTGGTGGTTTGTGGAAAATGTATAGTAAGCCCAATGACCTGCTGCAGCAAGCCTTGGACGCTGAAGGTGCTAAAATGCCAGCACATGACTCTGAGGGAAACCCTCTGAGGACAATATCAGGGAGTGAGGTTCAAGTACAGGCTGATCAAAACATTTCTCCAAATGCAGCAACCCCTCCTAAACCTGATGAGAATGATGGAAAGATTTATAAATTCATCAAGAGGTTTGCAGAGCGAAAGCTTGGACCGGACAAAGTGCACAATAAGTGGACAATGGTAAAAAGTACTTTCTGCCAAAAGTCAGAAAGCACAAGTGTGGTGCACAGGTGTTATGCCTTTTCCGGAAGTTCTGATTCGCAAAACGAATTACACAATGTGCCCACGGAATGGTGGAATCAATCTGGGGGGCAAGATGCCTGGGATGATGGCCAGAAGATAAAGATTACAGATGTTGACCGTTCACAATTTGGTCGTAATTTGGTTTTAATTTTGTTTGATGCCTTGAAGCCTGTTGTTATTGAGGATTTCAAGAAGCTAGCTCACCATGTAGCATTTGATGAATCCAACTATGCAGAAGCTATGGTTTCAGAGTCACGAAGAGATATATCTGTGTTAGACTACGGTGAGTTCTATGATTATGTGATGGGAGTTGTCAATGCATATGATGAAAATATTAAAAAAGTAGTTTCTGACATGGAACAGTTACTGTCTTATACACATGCTTCCTATAAGAACAAACAATTCGCACCAGACAAGAAAAAAATTGAAGAAAACGTTTCCAAAAAGCGTGATTTGATATGTACATTCTCAGACAAGTGTTTGAAACAGCTAGAAAAAAAACTGGATGAACTCCCAAACAAATTTCTTGATCTTGTTGCGAAGCAATTGCAAGAATCCAAGTGTGGTGAGGACAATGTTATTCGTCTAACTCTTCATGAACTTTTAAAGTCGAAACTTGATTGCTTTCTCAATGTTAAGGTAAAGTTTGTTGCAATGGATGCAGATTGTATTGCTGATGGAAAGCAATTTTGTAAATTGTGTGCACGGAAAGTGCCCTTCTATTCTGTTTTACCACAACTGCTTCGTGAAATTGGATCAACTGGAGATGACTTTGATAAACTTTCTCCACTTTTTGAACATTTACTGGGGTAACCCATTAAAGAACAAGTACGATCGTACTATAGTGGACCAGGAACTGCGTGACCCAGTTTCGATCTTGTGCAAATCATTAAATGTTCAAAACCTTCTTGATAAACAAATAACTTGATAAACAAATAACTAGACACTTTAGTCTCAAAATTGCATGGCAGCGTAGACTGAGTTTGCTAAATGTTTTGCTTTAATTTGGTCATGCAAGATAAACTTTAACCGAGCAAAAAATGTGTCTGGTCATGCTGTGTATAAATGAGTGTAAATCTGGACAAAGCATATAGATAACTAAATGCACAGTTTTCAAAAATAACTGTATACTCGTATTGGAATTAGATAAGTTGAATGTCCCACAATATTAAGACTAAACATGCCGTGTCTAAATTTAACTTTTGCCATAACAAATTTTGCCGTGCCGTGCGTGCCATTGCAAAATATTGCAGCTACAGTCGTGTATACGTGGCGTGTATACGTGGCGTGTAAACGGGACTCAAGTTAAGGTAACAAATTATCTGAATTGTTGCTATAGTATAGGTTAATGCAGTTCATTTTGCTTGGTAATGGACTTCATAACCATACACTACATATTTCGCTTGCTCAGGTTTTCAGACTTGCCCAAGTCTCGCTCAAATTGGTTAGGGCTAAATAAACTGATTATGAGATAACCTCGTTCTCATAGGCTCTTTCCACAATTCCCGCAAATAGTTTGAGAAAACATCTCATTCTTTGCTAACACACCATTCATTGGTTGTTAGCTATACCCTTCATGTTTTGTAGCACAATACAGAAACACTACAGCAAAAATTGAATCCTAAACCTTGCCAGGTATATTCATAACTGCATGCTTGTGCTAAAAACAAATTGACATGTCTTTGTTTTTATGGTTGGCGATTTTCTGGCTATGCATGACTATGAATATTATATGATAGTCAGATAGGAGTATTATTATAGTACTCCTCTGCGCTTTGAGAAATTAAGCTAGCGTGTTAAATTAGTTAACTTAAGTCTTAACGCTTTATATAATTAATCGTTATAATTAGCCTTCCACATTCTTGAGAAGCTTTAGACTATTGTGATTGTGTTCACAACGAACAATAGAAAAGACAATGTCTTTCTTATCATTTGCGTTTGCTGATATATTTGCTGAATGTTAATGATATGTATATATTAATTGCTACGAATACAGTCAAGAATTGCTTGTATTTCGCTTCTAAAGTCAAAAATGAAAAATTGAACACCGTCAATCGATGCGGAATAAAGGGTGTCGCCCCTTAACAACAACAACAACAACAACAAGATTAGCAGCGATTGGGGACCAGTTCCTGGTCCAAAAACGACAAGAAAAAACAGGGCAGTAAAATTAACAAGGCCTCTTATTAAAGCCCTATAAAATGTTGTTTTAATCAAACTTGTACAATAATTATGTAAATATCATTGTCATAACAAAGGCTAGTTATAGAACAATTTAGGAAACTAGATACTCTACTAAATTTAATGCAAGAATGGAACCAGTTTTTGTAACTTGTCACAGGATTTGAATAAAACTTGAAAATTCTTGAAAGTCCTTGAATTTGAGAACAAAATTCAAGTTCTTGATTTAAATGTCTTCAGTTTATAAAGAAGTTCTTGAAAGCAGGGGCGTAGGAACCGGGGGGGGGCCAGGGGGCCATGGCCCCCCCAGGTTTTGGCAAGTGCCCTTTTTACAGAAGCAAAGTGCCCTTTTTGTGCCTGAAAAATTTTCATAAAATTCGCAGTTTTTGTCCAAACGAAACTTTTGAAAACTGTAATGTAGGTTTTTTCCTGAAAAATGTTTTAGTTTCCGATAAAAATATCATATATTTGTTTTTCCGGAAAAAATTTTTAGTATTTAAGGAAA